ACCCTGGTCATCTCTGAATTGCCAAAAGGTTTTTATGTCTTGGCTAGGATGCTATTAATGCAGAAAAAATTCGACAAACTGAACTATTTATAGAATATTTAGTTCCAAGTCAAAAGAATAACAATATAGTTTATGTAATAAACACTGAACTTTGTATGTGTACATGTTATGTCAGGTTATCTGAAGCATCATGCAAACACCAAGGAACAGTGGCTGTAAAATATCATATTGGGTCACTGAACTTTTTTTAGTCATTAGCAGCTAATAATTGTGTATATTTTGCATATATCGCATGTAGTAAGTGTTAATAATTTAAGCTAATCTCTAAAACATTCAATAACCTTATTCAATTATTTTAAGATCTTAAAGCGGATGATTCTTTTTATGCATCACTATATAATACTCAATATAAATATCATAAAGTTAATAACGTTAAAGATAACATGTTTCAAGAAACTAGCAATAATGCTCAAGATTTACCAAAACTCGATGTAGACAAAGTTGCTGTAATAGAGTATATACAGTATATTCATTTTATATACTTATTTTTGTAAGTTTTTAAAAATTATTTATTTTTAAAAATAATCTGATTCTTTTTGAGTCATTTGTTGAAACAATCAAGTATGATTATGAAAATAGTGGCTACAACTTCAGACTACTCTTGAAAAGTTTGCCAAATAATACAACACAGCAAAGACTAAATCCATTTTAGCCTTAACAACATTTTTATATAATGTTAATCGCAATACTAATCCACTTGTCTGTATGAGAAGTGGAACCAAAATTCGTATGCAAGTTAAATCAGTAAAGCACAGAAAACTTGTTGATAATAAAAAGAACAGCGATCCTCATATAATTTCAGCACGTAAGGTTTGGGCAGTTGGTAAAAAAGGGCATAGACTTAGCGAAAATACTAAGTTGAATTAATCACTTTTTTATATAATTAGTATGCGTTTAAATGCTATTTTCATATTTTTAGTATATAGTATAAATAAGTGAATTGTTATGAGAGTTATATTTAGAAGTTATGCAAGCATATTTCATGTAGCGATAAAGCTATAAAGCACTTTATAATAGATAGTTTTGATAGCAAGTGTATCAATTTTACTCTCAATATGTATAAATATAATATTGCTTAAAAGTAAGTTTTTAAAAAAAATTCACTTATTCATTGTATTGGGCAGTTTATCGTATAAGCGATCAAAATTAAATAAGTTGAGTCAAATAATTGAAAAAAAAAGACAATGTAATTTAATATTAATTAAAGTAAGACGAAATTAGAAATTAACTTGGCATATTTAAATAAGATACTATATTAGATATTAGCTTATTAATAAATAAGACAAATAAGTAGAGATCTGGTTAAAGAACAGCATAACTTAATTTAGTACTAATAAAATTTTGGTTTATATAATAGAACTATGGATTGGGGCAAAACATCTTTGACCTATTTTTATTTTGCATGATTTAATTCTTTTATTATATTAAAGATAAGTATTTTGTCTTCGGTTCTATATCTAATATACATTTTGTTTGTATGTTTATATGTATTAATAGCCTTTTACTAGGCTATACAAAATCAGTAAATATCGGTAATCAAATATGCATAGGATAGTTACACAAATACATATTGTGTATCCATATGATTAATGATTGACAAAACCTGGCACAGAATTTTTTCATGCCTCAGACTAATTATCTGTGACCTAAACCTACTAGAGTGATCAAGACTCATCTAGATTTTTAATGATAAAATATAATTGGTGGATATACTATTTTGAGTCCACTCAGAGCCTATTTGTTAAATTTAAGAATTGTTTGGCCAATAAGAAGGCATGTATTAGTATTAGTATGTGCTTGATCTGGAAAACTACGTAGGCAGCTATATGTAAATAGTCTGCGGTGCTTGGGTTTAGTGCAATTTGGATTGGGTTGTTGGGTAGAAGGTAAACTTTTTGTACAAATTTTATATTGTTTTTTCCAATTATGAAATAATATGGCTCTCGTAGATATTTTCTGATAACAAGAGTAATACTTGGATAATTATTTGGGTAGCTTCTTTTAGATGCAGATCTAGTGGTTGTAGAGCTTGTATGAGGGTCTGGAGATAAGGCCTTTGAGCGTAGTAAAATGATGAGGGTGTTGACCGGGTTGAGTTAAGAAATTGAATGCTGGGTGTTAATTTAGAATATTAATTATATCTTGTTGCAGTATAGGTGGCAGATTAGAGTATTTCTTGTTTATAGTTTCTGTTATGGCTATGTATATAGTTTGGTTTAGTTGATATAGATCCTGGCAAATTAACCAGTAAAGTGGCAAATTAAGAGCATTACAGTAAAAGCAGTTAGGTGGTTGAAATTGCTTGTGGGCAATACTGTAGAAGTAGTAGTAATTGGAAAGATTATTTAGCAGCATTTTAATTCTAAAAGACTTATTCTGGTTGAGTTTGGGCTAGTAAGGTTGTGAGAGATCTTTTGATTGCCATTAAGATATAGCTATGTGGAATCCTAGTCTATTTGGTTAGCAAAGTCAGACCACTCAGAGTTGCACCTTTGTAAGAACCAGATTGCAGCTGTATATGCTCGACAGATATTTTTAATACAGGCTCTACCATTGCTTTCAATAGTGTATTTCTCCCACTGAAGAACAAATACAGAGTTGTAAATATTGCTAGGGTTTATACTAAGAATGTGTAATGTTGGGTATTGTTTTGCTAATGCATTAACATAGTCATTAAATTTGTTGTTTGAGTTTGCTAAGACTTTAATTAGACTAAATTTGAAGTTGAAGAATTTGATAAGGTTTATAATCATCTGCCATATAGGCCAATATTTTAGTTTTAGATATTTGGTAGACTATGGGGGTGTGTTAAGAAGTTTATCATATTTGGAAATAACTGATTGGGAGTCTGTATAGATTTCTGTTGCTGCATTCCTAGAGACTGTGGTGATAGCTGCTAGGATTGTCATTAATTTGGCTTTGTAAGATGATAGCCAATTTGTGATTTTAGCTAAGAACTCTTGGGTTATTTGGTTGTTTCAGACCTGGATCCTATAAAGCATGAGCTAGTGCTGATTCTAGTTACAGAACCGTCAATATAGAATGTAAAGGTGTTGTAGCTTGTATTAGCTTGGGCAAGATATATTAAGGTTTGGGAGGCTGGGCTATCTTGAAATATAGAGGGCACTGGAGAGTTAGTAATATTAATTGTAGGAGGCTAGAATGTTAAGAGGGTGTTTAATGGCTATGAAGTAGATAAGATCAATGTAGTTAGCATTAAGTTTTAATGTCTTGTTAGCTGTTTTTTTTTTAAAAACTGGGTTAAGAGAGTTGTAGAGACTTCAAGTGTGCACTGGTTTTGGATTCAGTTAGAGTTTAGATTATATTCTGGGCAAGGTTGGCATAAAATAGGTGGAAATAGATATTTATAATGTTGAAAGGTATTAATATTGTGAGTCTAGTAAGTAATTGAGGTGGTGTTGGCTTGTTTAAAGTGTTTTCTGACTTGTCCAATAATAATCTGATTATCTGTGTAGGTAAGAAGCCAAGGTTTATGGGTTTTGTATATGAGGTTTGTTTAGTAAGCAAAAGGATTGGTGCCTGGTGGTTGAAGATGTGAATGAATAGTATAGTGTAGTTGGTCAGTTAATAGTCTGTTTTTCAGAAAGGTAAACCATATTGATTTCTTTCTTTTGGAGAGGTGTAGTAGCCTGGATAATAGATGTTGCTATTCAAGTAAGGTTTTATTGTCTGCTGTACAAAGCTGCTCAAGGTAAAGAATTTTCTTTGCTCTAAGCTGTTGCTTAAAGGTACTGTATTGGGGTGCTGGTTAAGTAGTTTCTCAAGAGGAGTGTTGTTATAGCTAAGGGTTTGTGGCCATGGTATATCTGGGCTGGTTTGAATGGTGATATTGTGCTTTCTTAGTAGCTGTATAATTTTGAAATTAGTAGTGTGACGATTGGAACCATCAATAAGTGGCTGTGGGTAACTAAGGATATTAGTTGTAAACCAGATATTGTTTTGGAGTTGTTGAAGCCTAATACAAGTAGTAAATCCCAAAATAGAATTGTTGTTAAGCCTAGCAAGGAGGTTGCTAGCATGGTGTTGCAGCTATATGTCCCAGATATTGTGAATATTGTAAATCCTATGACTAAGCATAGTGCTTTTGGGAGTTGATCTTGCAAGATAAGCTTTATGCTTAGTGACTATAAGGTATTTGCTCAAAATTCTATTACATATTAATTGTGGGATGATAATGTTTTGACTTCTATATTTGATAGTAGGAAGGATAACAGTATTGATTATGTATATAATTTGTTTGTCAGTAATGTTTTTAGTACTTGCAATATTAATAAGTTGTATTGCTTCATCTTAAACTAGCTTGATTTGAATACTTTGTTTGCTGCTAAGTGTAAACCAGCAGCCTAGGAATTTGAATGGCTAGTTATTAAGAATTAGTACTAGGCTTGATTTGAGAAAGAGGATGCTAGTAGATGTGTATTTAGAGATGAGACTTGATTTAGTAGAGTTAACTTGTATGCTAGCCATTTGGTAGAAGAAGGTGCCAGCTTGTATAATCTCTTCTAAGTTTTCTTGAAATTGTGCGATCCACAGGGTGTTGTCTATATAAGCTAGTACTGATAGAGAAGAATGCAGGTAGTAAGAGGTAGAGTTTGTAAGACTATTTTGCCAAGATGCTGAGAGGGTATAGCCAGAGAAATTTGTAGCAATATGTGTGATTAGAGGGTCGTAATAGATTCTCCAAAAGAGGGTGTAATGGTTTCATCTTGAACAATACCATTTTTGACAGTATAGCTGTTGGTTAAGCCCAGGTTGGTGATAATGTGATTTGTATGGTTAGTTAATAGGTTGGTAAGAGTATTAATAAGGGCTCATGGTATATAGATTCTTTGTAGAGCTCTTTGAAACAGTTCTGGTATAATGGAATCATATGCCTTGCTCATGTCTTGAGAGAGGATCCATATTGGTTTTGAGTTGCAGAGTGAGTCTTTGATAATATTGTTGAGTATGTAGATAAGAATAGAAGTAGAGTTTCCAGGTAAGGCAATGTAGTTGTAAGGTAAGAGAATATTATGTACAGAGAAGATTTTGTTAAGGCATTTAGTTAGCAGTTTAGTATAAAGTTTTCTAATATGTTCTACAAGACTGATGGGGTAGGTATTAGAGAGATTGCTATCAAAAATAGGCTTTTTGGATATTGGGTAAATGCGGTCCTCTTTCCACTATTTGGGTATGTGTTGGGTCTCGAGATATCAGTTAAGGAGTGCAGTAATGGCTTGTAGAAATCTGGGCCCTGCCCTTTTTAGCATCTCATAGCTAATTTCAGAAGGGCCACAGGCCTTGTTGTTGGGAAGATGACTGAGTGTTGTAGTGATTTCTTTAGCAGAAAAACTTGCGAAAGCATCAAAATACCAGTGGGCCTGGATATATGTTTTGGGGGCATATTCAGTTTGCCAGTGGGAGTCATAAATATTTTGGTTAATTGAGCAAGACACTATCTAGTTATCGAAGTGCTGCTGGATATGTGTTTTAATTGTTGGAGTATCTGTTATAATGTTATTATTAGTCTTGATATTATTAAATTTAATAGAGTCTTTATGGTAGTTGAGTATGCTATTAATCATTGAGGTGGATTGGTTAGCAGCTTAGTACATTTTTTTTGGATAGCTTCTGTGATTTGGTGCCTTATTTGTTTAGTATTTTCTATATTTCGAGCATGGAAGAGTTTTTTCCACTCTATGTTTGTGCTAGTGATCTAGTCTGTGATGAGCTAATAACTAGAGAGCAACAATAGGATTTGAAGATCAAGGTTTGAATTGAGTTGCAGTATGCTGGTGTTTAGGTGAGCAGGGGGTAGGAGATGTTGTGCTTGTGCTTGCTTGACTTTTTTGATGATACTGCTAAGC